CGTCGGAGGACGTCGAATATGCGTATGGGACCATGTTCCGTCCTAGGACTCGTGGATGCGCAGATGCTCCTCAACGTCGCGCTCTTTTTCGAGAGGCGCTCTGAGTTTGATGCTGCCTTCCGATTTCATGAAGGTAGCATCGGAATGAGCGAGTGGCCGGAAGCCTTCGACATCTGGAGCATGTATCTGACGAGGTTCATGCAGCTTCACGGTAGGAAGAGAAGGGATCTGGTACGACAGTTGTTTGCAATGTGCTTTGCGGAATGTCCACCAGAGTGGACCGAAGAGGTTCTCGCGCTGCGTCGCGAGCTCGAAAATTTATACGGGCTCAGGCAACGCACCGAGGGCGTTTGCAGCAGAGCTGAGGAGATTGTAGAGAACCTTCTTCTCCCACCCTTCCTTTAAGAATAAAGACATATAATCTAACCAACTCATTTCTGAACTCGGGAGAGACATACAAGAATTGTCACAGTTCCCGATTGTCGTCTAGACGGCAGGGAATTCATTATCGGTTCGCCTTTCGGCTGACGGAGAAGGAGACAACTCAGGCATCACCGTGAAAGGGAACGCTGACCGTTTCCAGGGATATGCTCGAACATGAGTTCCTGCCGAGTGAGTGGCCGTTGAGCCGGACGTGAACCGCCGGAAAAATCATCATTTTGAGAGCGCATCTTGATCAACAGGAACAATCCTGTGTTGTGCTCATCGGTGCGATTGAGGGCCCCGATGGTCGTAGCATCACAGCGCTGCATTAGAATCTCAAATCTGAGTGGGAGCTTCCGATAATAAATAATGAATTCCACCTGCTTCTCGTTTGGTTCCGTCCGAACCCTGATTCGACATTCGCTTCGTTAGCTCTGTCTCCCGAGATCTTCGCCGCAAATCCCACCGCTGCAAATATCGGGGCTGTCTTTCTGGGATACGGCAAGAGATGACCTCGGTAATATCGAACCAACTGATGACACCTCTAGTTTATTTCACACTCTCAATAACTGCCACAGCCGATCTCTCGTCGCTGTGCGACCGTGCTCTCCGACTGCTTCTCGCGCACTGTACACCTCGCACATCCGAACATCCGTCTCACACCTCAATCGTCTGACGTCCATCTGCACTACATTTTGACCACGACACTTCGAGTACAATCTCTTATGCAAGCTGAGGTCGAAAAAGACCAAGACCCGAGAAGAGGCATTCGAGCTCGAGCTCGAATAGACCCGATACGAATATCTCGTGGGTCGAAGACAGCTGCTCGTGAGCACGACGATTCTGCGTCACGATCCCCAAAGCGTCTACGAGTGGCTTAAGCGCGTGCAGCTGCCCGAGGACGATCCCGTCGAGGTCGTGAGAATCTTCTCCGAAGCAGTGCACACGATCGATCCGCGTTGGGCCTGCGAAGGACAAGTGTCCCAGATTTGGATCGCTTTCGCTCAATACTACGAGTCGAAGGGGCAAATCGATGATGCCAGGGTCGTTTTTAAGAGAGCTACGCGGGCTAGCTACTCTAGCATCGATGAGCTTGTGGAAGTGTGGTGTGAGTACGCCAAAATGGATCAATTTTCTCTGACGTAGAGACCGCCATTTGGTGAAGCTTGAAAGGTCTCTTGCGACTTGTCGCAGTGGTGCTTATCTGGGACCTCGGAGGAGACATTCATATACGAAGCTACGACGAGCGGGACTTATCGACACGGTCGTGTTGTGTTCCAAAGCTGTGGTTGTGTTTGGAAACTGTGGGTTCGGAGATGTGCTACAGAAGCAATAAAAGCTAGCTCTCGAGTTTTGTGTTCTGTATGTATTATTTTCCAGCGATTGGCTGGAGCCCCGGTGAGTCACCGGTGTGGATTATTCAGAGCAGCAGTAGCCGATCGGTCTCCGTCTCCGGGATAGCCTCGAATACATTCACTTCCTATGATATAAGTCGAGAGGCTCGCTGTTCGTACGTGATACGTGACGGAACGTCCTCCAAAACAGATGGTCAGTGTTTCCTCTGTTATTGTCGGATCCCGCTTCCTACTAGTTTCTGGCTGAGTCTCCGTTCGGAAGTTGTGCCCCGTTCTACCTCCTTGCTCCCTTCGGGACGAAGTTTTCGCGCCTTCCCGTCGCTTACATGGATATCCAAGAAATTCGTTCGGCAAGGGGTAAACCCCAGTTTTCCGTGGAGAGCTACGCAGTGGAGAAAACTGTAGGCGGCGACACTTCTTACTGTAGATGCATCAAGAAGAGACGCGAAGGGTGTCCAGCGAGAATAGTCGTATCGAGATCATCGACGCTGACTCTCACGAAGCAGGCTGGTGCCCACACGCACCCGCCCGACAACGGAGAACTCATAAAACGTCAGGCCGCCGCTGATATGAAGAATGCGGTTCTCGAACAGGACGAAAGGGGAGTGAAACGCGTCTATTCAGAGACATTCGCGGGACTGGTGCGCAACCTCCAAGAATCCTACGAACACAAGGAGCTCGGAGCCTCCCTGCCCTCGTATGACCGTGCGAGAGCTACCTTGAATCGCGCGCGCGTGAAGCTCGTCCCAGTCCGACCTAAAAGTCGAGAAGACATAGTCGTGGAGGGGGAATACGCGAGAACTCTCAGTGGGGAAGATTCCTCCTGTTCGACGATGGTTCCGAGCATCAAATCCCCGGTTTCGGCTCCAGGGAGAGAATTAGTATCTTGTGTGACTCCCCGGCGGTTTTCATCGACGCACGGCACGTTCAAAGTAGTACCGCGATTGTTCACGCAGTTGTACACTTTGCACTCGTTCTACAAAGGGCAGATGTTCCCCCCCGCGTTTTTCCTGCTCCCCGATAAGAGGAAAGAAACCTATTGTAGGATGTTCCGAATGTTAAAGGATCCCGCTTATTCGGTAAAGGGAGTTTTCGCTCCTCTAACTTTCCAGCTGGTCTTTGAGGTGGTCACCCTCCGCGCCATCCAACAAGGGTTCCCATTGTCGGCAATCAAAGGATGTAACTTCCATTTTAATCTGTGTCTCTGGAGGAAGGCGCAATCCTTGAGTCTTGTATCGTTTCACAACGATCCCCTCGTAAAGAAGCTGATCCGATCTTGTTCGGCTCTCAGCCTGGTCCCCCTAGAGAGGATCGATGAAGCCTGGTTGGAGATAGGTGCGGACTCCCCTCCAGCGGTCCACCCGGCGCGTGAACGTGTGAAGGCCTTCAAAGGATACGTCATCCATAGAGTTCCCATTTACCCGGACATGTCCTTGTCCGTCTTCTTGTCCGGTTTTCCGCATTTTTGTCCGGTTTTTGGTAATCGCCGATTCCGGAGGGCCCAAACTTGGAATCTTGGTCTCAATTGATCCGTGCTGGACGCTCCCTGATTCCCTTAGGTCAAGGCTTTTCCTGAGCGTTTGCTCCTTCTCACGAAGTCACGGAGTCGAAGTCTCACTGAGATTTGCGGATTCGCTCGGGGGCGAGCACAGGCCCCATTGAAACGATTCCCACTTCTAGGGGCAGTTTACTGGTCTTGCAATCGATATCCGTTTAAGCGGCTCTATGTATGCTCTATACTCTCTTTCTCGAGTTTTTCTCCATATACTCCGTATACTCGAAGCACAGACGTCAGCTCTGGACGCGTGTCGCTTCCGACACTCACGAATCTTCTTCCGCGTTGTAAGTATCAGGTG